GCTTTGTTTGCTATCTGGTTGAAAGAGGAATGCAGAGTGATTATTTCTACATGCTTGGGAAGGAGAAAAAAAAAGGCATCTCGTCAGCACGGCTGTGGAAAGCAGACTGTGGGGAAGTTCCTTTTCAGAACACCGTATCCAGAGTTGGGGAAGCTGGGAATTCTGGGAACTGTAGTCCCAAAAGATCATTTCCCCACACGGTGGTGGTGTGGGGGAAGGATGCAAAAGGTGGAAGAAGGAGTCATCATGTCCCAGTGCAGAAGGGGACTTGAGATGCCTGATCCAGAGGGGAACTGGAATTTCCTGTACTTTGGTCAAAACACAAGGTGCTCTTCAACCTTTGAATGTTGAGGGAATATGCTTAATTTTGACCAATCAAAATATGTTCAACTGTGCTGCATGCCACAAGGAGTGAGAAGGGGACTTGAAGAACACATCGGGGTTTCCCCGAGATCTCTCTGGACAAACAGTCCTGCTTGTGACAGCCATGGGTGGTTTTTAAGAGCATCTAAAGAAAGATTCCCAGTGTGTCGTAGTGGATAGAGTGATGGAGCAGGACTCTGCAGAACAGGGTTCAAATCCCCAGTTGGCTACAGAAACGCACTGGGGGAGAGGAACTGGTCAAACCAATCTTGAAATATCTCACTTGCCTTGAAATCCCTGTTAGGGTCCCTATAATTTGATTCTGACTCAACAGGGCAGAATGCATAAAGAAAGAAGAAGAAAGTAGGAAAAACACAGGGCAGAAGAAAGTGATGGGCAATAATACTATGCAGCTGCTAAGCAAGTGAGTTGGCAGCTCTGTGACAAGCCACACGTGGCATTCGCTTGCAATGCAACGCCGTCCAGAAAATCCAAGCAAGTGGGATGAAATCCAGAGAATGTGAGCAAGGGATTTTTTTAAAAAAATACAACTACAAACGCTCTGCATCTGGCATCTCAGTGATGAACAGCAGTTAAAAAAAGACATCTGGCCAAAGAGGTGCAAAATAGCCTCAAATGCTTCGAAGAGCAGACTGATTGCATTTCATTAGGCATGGAAAGGTGTCTGACTCACTCACTACATAGGCAGCTTGGTTTTTCAGATTCCAGAGGAGGACAACACATTGAATATGTGGGCAGTTATTAAAACGCCATGACATTATTTCCAGTTTTCCTTTCTTTGGAGCCTCCATCCTTTCACAGGAGTAGAATAAAAAGCAGGCATTGGTTTTCTTGTTTAGCGAGCAAAACGGGTGAGTTAAAATGATCCACTTGCAAGTTCTCATTAGTTCTTGGACGGCAGCCTACCACAGAACAGCACATTCGGCCATTCAGGGCTATCAGTGAGAATGTCAGAATTACAGACAGGTTCTAGATCTTTGTCGCTTAATTTTTATAGTTGCTTCCAGCCTGTAATTCCCCCCTCCTATGTTCTTTCTAAACTGACTCATTTTAGATCTGCAGTTAGCAAGAGTAGGCGGTCCTAATGCAGATGATGAGGGAGAAATTTGGCACCAGGGTGAACGCAGGGCTGAATTGCAAAATGTTTAAAAGACGGAACCTTGCAGAAACAAAATAATAATAATAATACAGTAATGAGTTGTAGAATTCTACCAAACACATTGGCAGTAAGGTTCTGTTCACATTTCCTGTGCATTGCTGCACTAGTCTGACTTTAAACTCGGCAACCGTCCACATTTTTAAAATTTGTATCTCTTGCTGAGATCTTTTCCGTCCTCTTTGTCATAATTTTGACTGTGAATTTATGGCACCATAGGATTTTCTAGAGTAGCCACAGGAGACAAAGCATAAGTGACTATTCAGATCTGTTGTTATTTAAATCAGCAAGGATACAGTCTAGCCTTCCCCACCCTTGTGTCCTCCACATGCGCTGGGCTACAGCATTGTCCCTGCTAGTTGCGATATGTGGAGTTGTAGTCCATGACATCTGGGAAGCACTACTGGATTGGAGAAGGCTGGTGTAGGCTAATATTAATATCTCCTCGCTATACTTCCAAAATTCAGAAGGGTAAATGTCTGTTTTAGTGTGGCTAGGACCAGACCTCTTGCAGTAAAAGCGCGAGGAACTGGAAAGCAGTGCTGGGGACAGGTAGACCTACAGACCTTGCCTGTGGTCTGGAAGGCGGTGGGAGAGAAAGAATCTAATTTGGCCCTGGAGGGCAGTGAATCTGCACATTTCTTTTCAGCCTGAATGGTGAAGGAGCTATCCAAGGTCCTGACTCTATTTCAGAGACACCGTTCTGCATTTTGGATAGCACAGAAACCGGTTTGGACTAAAACCCAGAGGGGATTCATTGTGCCTACAAAACTGGAGTCCCCAGCCACCACACTCCCATGTGGTGCATAAACTGCATCAAACAGCAAGCTGCACGTTGCCAGGGTGCCAGCTGTGAAATAGATAAGGGGGGGGAGGTATAAACCATTGCTGATTCCATCCTTCCAGATAAGAACTTTTAAAAATTAAAATCTTTTCTTCAGACCATGTGAAATGCCAAAGGCTTTTCTACACTTTTCTATATATTTTTTTGCAAATAAAAACATGCAGGGGTTTGTTTGTCTTTTGCACACAATCCTTGCATTTTACACACACAAAAAAATATTGTTTCTAAAACACAATATTCTTTCATAAATTGTAGTGTATTCTGTTAATCTTGTTGCTTGAGGCAAAACACTGGTCTTTCACCCTCATGCAGGAAAGAAAAGACACACAGTGGTAGACAATCTTTTCACAGAATGCCTTTGCTGGGTTGAGGCATCCGTTTTCATCCATGTTTGCAAATGCTCATTGACTCCTTAGATGAAAGACTAGAATTGCAAGATTCAAAGTCAACAAGCATTTGTATAAAGCAGAAGGTGAGACATCTATAGGCTTCTTCCCAATCCCTGCCCAGTGATACCCACTGTAACTGCCTGCAAGGTAGCCTTTTTCTGAACTTTTGATCAGGTTGGGAAAGGGGGGGGGTGCAAGTGGAATAGACAAGGTAAGTCCTATGGAAAAGAAAACAGCAGGTGGGTAGGTCCTGATGCATTTTGACATATATTGGATAGACTGAATTAATACCACACTCCCAATCATAGCTCAGCGGTTTAGGTATCTGGCTGTGGAGCCGGTCGGAAGTTCACAGAAAGCTAGCCTGTGTGGCCTTGGTCCAGCTGTACAGTCTCAGGATGCCCTCAGAAAAAAGGGGACTGGAGAACCACTTCCAAATACTCTTCATCTAGAAAACCTTGGAAAGGGTTGCTGTAAGTCAGAAATGACTTGAGGGCACACAATGATTACTATGAATCCATGCAGAAGGGGGCAAAGGGAACATCTGTTTTATGAGCTGCTGCCAGTCAGAGCTGACAACGTGGGGCCAGATGGACCAACCTTGGTCCATATAAGGCAGTTGTCTGCATTCCCAAACAATGAAGTTCCTTATCCCTCCTACTGCACTCCTGCTCTGAGTTTGTCCTCTCTACCTATTATTCACCTTCTTTTAAAAAATCTATTCGCAGCACTGCTGATGGCACAAATGCCGTCATGTCTAATTTACACCACAATTTATTCACAGTTCATGCCAGGTCTTTGGTCCCAAGTCCCAAGTCTGAGTTTTTGATACCAAGTCCCAAGTCTGAGTCTTTGGTATCAAGTCCCAAGTCTGAGTCTTTGGTCCCAAGTCCCAAGTCTGAGTTTTTGATACCAAGTCCCAAGTCTGAGTCTTTGGTATCAAGTCCCAAGTCTGAGTCTTTGGTCCCAAGTCCCAAGTCTGAGTTTTTGATACCAAGTCCCAAGTCTGAGTCTTTGATACCAAGTCCCAAGTCCAAGTCTTTAGTCCCAAGTCTGAGTCTTTGATACCAAGTCCCAAGTCTAAGTCTCTATTAGAAACAACCTTTTTTATCCCAGAAAAAAAGGGGGGAGGGGATAGTTGGGTTCCAAGTCATGAGTCAACCCATCAAGTCTGAGTCAAGTCACTTCTAGGACTTAAGTCCAATTTGACAGCGGGTCAAACAACTTGAGTTTCCATCCCTGGGGGAAAAAAGTATCCATAGTTCATCCTTAGAGAAAACACACCATGGATCAGTGAAAATGTGTTTTTTTTTATATGACAGCTTCCAGAATTCTGGGGGCTGTGTTTCAAAAGACGCAGATCTCCATGTTGCTTGCTCTAACCACCCACAAACTTTGCACTCACAATATCTTTATGTTACATATATTTCTTTTAGAGTTTTGAAAATAGCTATAATTCAGCTTCCCTGCTCAAGAAAGCTTCCAAAGCTACGCTATGGCATTATATCTCTCCCTCTTCCCACCTCCTCTCTGATGGACACACACACACACACACACACACACACACACACACACACACACACACACACAACAACTGACATGAAAAGGAAAAAGAGAAGAGAGAAAGATTAATGTGTTCTACTAAAACAGCCCAGAAAGAAGCTCAGGAATTCAGTTGTGCTAAGATGTGCAGGGCTATGAGACAGCTACACCGTATTTCTTGTCTCTTATAAATGATTTACTCAGCCGATCAGAGCATGCTGCTTCTTGTAACATAACATCCCAGGAGGGCTTGCGCCTCTTTGCCGGCGGGTCTCTGGTGATCTAGTAGACTAAACAATTTAGACAAACAGTGCGCCAGGCGTCACAGCGGGAGGGTGTGGCATTTGGCAAAAAATATATAATTGTATTTTATTTTTATTTTTTATCAGAGTGTATGATGGTAACTCTATGGACTTCAAGCAAAGATTGCTCTCTTTCTCACCCCCCTCTATATTACTCCTATCAATTTCTTAGCATGTAATCC